AATGCATTGCATTCTATTTCCTCCTCTAATTCTGTTGGTATTTGTTTTGCATATGTTGGTGCTCCTGTATTGGGTGCATATATATTTATAATGATTATATCCTCTTGTTGGATTGACCCATTTGTCATTATGTAATGTCCTTCTTTATCTCTTGTGACTTTCTTTGTTTTGAAGTCTATTTTGTCTGATACTAGTACTGCAACACCTGCTTTTTTCTCCCTGTTGTTTGCATGAAATATCTTTTTCCATCCCTTCACTTTTAGTCTGTGTATGTCTTTGGGTTTGAGGTGAGTCTCTTGTAAGCAGCATGTAGATGGGTCTTGCTGTTTTATCCATTCTGTTACTTTGTGTCTTCTGGTTGATGCATTCAGTCCATTTACATTTAGGGTGATTATCAAAAGATACGTGCTTATTGCCGTTGTAGGCTTTGGATTCGTGGTTACCAAAGGTTCAAGGGTAGCTTCTTTACTATCTGACTGTCTAACTGAGCTCTTGTATTAGGTTATTATAAACACAGTCTGATGATTCTTTATTTCTCTCCCTTCTTATTCTTCCTCCATTCTTTATATATTAGGTGTTCTATTCTGTACTCCTTTGTGTTTCCTTTGACTGCTTTTATGGATAGTTGATTTTATTTTTTGCCTTTAGTTAGTATTTGGTTTGTCTGCTTTCTTTGCTGTGATTTTATTTTTTCTGGTGACATCTATTTGGCCTTAGGAGTGCTTCCATCAGTCCCTTTAAAATATCCTGTAGAGGTGGTTTGTGGGAGGGAAATTTCCTCACCTTTTGCTTGTCTGGGAATTGTTCAATCCCTCCTTCAAATTTAAATGATAGTCGTGCTGGATACAGTATTCTTAGGTCAAGGCCCTTCTTTCTGTTACATTACATTAAATATATCATGCCATTCTCTTCTGGCCTGTAAGGTTTCTGCTGAGAAGTCTAATGATAGCCTGATGGGTTTTCCCTTGTGTTTGCAGATCTGTGCACCTCCATGGCCTGAGAGACTCTCTCCTTCCCCATATTGGTCAAGTGTGCAGCAATTACTTCCTCAAAGACACTTTCTATCCCTTTCTCTCTCCTACTTCTTCTTCTTACACGCCTGTAATACGAATATTGTTCCGTTTGGATTGGTCACACATTTCTCTCAGTATTCTTTCATTCCTAGAGATCCCTTTTCTCTCTCCCTGCCTCAGCTTCTTTGTGTTCCTCTTCCCTAGTTTCTATTTTCATTTATCGTCTCCTCCACTGAATCTAATCGGCTTTTAATGCCCTCCATTGTGCTCTTCAATGATTGAATCTCTGTCCTAAATTCTTTCCTAAGTTCTTGCATATTTTTCTTTACTGCCATTAGCATGTTTATGATTTGTATTTTGAAATCTCTTTCAGGAAGATTTATTAATTCAGTCTCAGTCCTTTCTCTGGTGGTGAGATTTTGCTTTGAACCAGGTTCCTTTGACGTTTCATATTTGTATGTGACGCCCTCTAGTGCCCAGAAGCTCTCCTCTCTGGAGCTGCTCAGGCCCTGGAGCCATGTCCAGGGTGGCAGGGGAGTGCTGCTGGTGCCCTGTATGAGGTCCGCTCTTTTCTCCAGGTGTATGCAGTCTGGTGCAGCCTTCTTCCCTTGTTCTCTTTCAGGACTAGTTGTGTTAATTATATTTCATATTATATGTGGTTTCGGAGGCAGTCTCTGTCTCACCTCTCAGGCCGCTGTCTTCAATCCAGTCTCAGTTGTTTTGATGCTCCGCCCACATTTGGAGTTCTGACTTGTCAAATCTGTATGGCTCTTTTGGTTGCACTTAATTTGCTGTCAGGAGAGGAGATACTGTGATATCTGGGATTTACCTTTCCGCTTCAGAGTGAAGAAGAAGTAAGATTCTTAACTTCTGCTTTAGCAGACAGACAATAACTCAGCCCACCTTGCGGACTGGGCGGGCAGCCTTGTCTGATATGCTCCCCGACGAAGATTCCGGTATCCCAGGGAGAAACCAGAGCAGTAAATTTCGTGTGTTAAGTTAATTTTAAATATTCAGGGACCACTTAACAAGTCCACACCGTTAAGCCTTTATCGGGTTCCCAAAAATCCTCAACTGCCTATAAAACCCCTAGACAATGCACAACTATGGGCTCTCTTGTCCCCTCCTGGCATGGGGAGCCAGAAGGTCTGTCCTCTCATTGTATATCTCACTAAAAGCCTCTCCTACCTTGGCTTGGGTACTTGCTAAGGTAATTCTTCACCTCCGCAGACAAGAAGAACCCCAGCATCATTTTGGGAGGCTCGTCCGGGATAACATTGCAGGTGAGTTATCAGCATCCAACATGCCTTTTCTTTCACTGTCCTTATAGAAGGAAGCCATCTATGGCCCACAACATCGGGCGCTCGTCAGCCACTTAAATGGGACTAGCCCGGCTGCCGATCTCAAAGTCTCGAGTGACAGGTTCCCCTGCGTCTCCCTCAGTGGATCCCCCGTCTCCCTTGGGAGCCGGGAAAGTCAGCTGAGTGGAGGCCAGGATTCCCCTTCAGAGGCATCTCCGTGGATGCGAGGGACTGAGGAAGGCCGTGGGCACCTGCGAGAGTCTCGGCTGAGGCTGCGCTTCAGCGGCTTCTCAAAGGCCCACGTGTCTGGAATCAGACCCCGACAGCCCGACTGGGTATCCACAAGGAGTGTCCCTCTTTCTGTCTCTCTCTGACATCCAGCCTGCTTCTCCAGGCCACCCTGGCCTCTGAGTGAGGCAGGGGGCGTTCCTAACTCTCTTCTAACTTCATCAGCATCACGGACCCCGATGCCAACCACCACAAGGTAGGAGATCTATGCTTCACTTTTATTCCTCTCTAGATGGTTTTCTTTTTATCTAATAAAAATGTGTCTGTGCATCCGTTAGCCACCTAAAAGACAATTATCGTCGGCTACCAGTCTTAAGTCTTGTTGAAAGTTTCCTGGTGTATGCCGTCCATGATCCCCTCCTCTCGATAGATGAGAATGTTGGAGAGTGGCTGCGCGGAGCTCCTGCTTTCCCCTTGTAAGCTGCGGGCTGGGACGGCAGACCGGACTAGTAGAAAGTGGTCCTTCGATCTCGGCTCCAGCTGTTGGATCCGATGGCGCTAAGTGAACCTCCGGCTAGGCTGCTGCCTATGGGAGAGTCACAGATGACCCCTGACCTCTTGTCTCACCGGTCAGATTTCTTACAGTGGGTGACTAGCACGGTGATTCCCAGGCAGTGGCAGAAACTGGTGTAAGTGCACAGGCCCTCCGTCATAAATGTCCGTGCCAGCCTCTGAATTTTATCTCTGGCTTTGGAAAAAGTTCCCTTGCTCCTCATTCAAAGCCGTCCTGTTAGGGCTGTGCCCCTTTCTCCTGTATAATGTAAATGAAGTCTTTGCAGTAGTCAGGCTGAAAGCTGAGTCCAACATGTAAATGGTTCTATGCTATTGACCTCCCTTCCTTAGAGGCAGCCATCCCGGGGCTGTGGCATTTCCCTACCTGTAGCTCCAGGGAAGGGAAACAGGCTTGGGAGTCTGACCAAAGCTCTGACAGGGAGATGTCAGACAGTCCCTGCACTTATCGGACAGGCAGGGGGCTCTCAAGGAATGATCCCAAGTGTACTATGCTAAAGCTTGTGCAGAGAAAACTAGGATCTAGATTACAACTCCCCAAAGGCGTAAAGTGGGAGCACACTGGTAAGGTCGCACTAAAAGTCCAGAGCTCTGAGGCGACTCTTGCTTAGTGGGAAGGCAAGAGGGAGATCAAGGCAAGGTGCAGGCCACGGTGGTAAGCAGTGGTGAAAGCCAGTAGGCCTGGCAGAGGAGGTGATTGACCACTGTCACCCAGGCTCCAAGGCGAGGGATGCCCTCACGGAGAGAGAGGCTGACCAGGTGCTGGGTGTGAGGCCCCACACAAGGAGCACCCTGGCTGGCCTGCAGGGGCCAAGGCAGGTGCAGACCCCGTAGGTCTTTGTGCCTGTGTGCTGATGTCACCCCCGTGGTCCTGCCTGGTGGCCCTTCTCCAGAGAGCATGGGTAGTCACAGGTAAAGGAGCCTCCTTTTGGGGACACCCACGGCTGGTGTTGGTTAGTGGCCCTTTGGTTGCTGAGGTGGCAGGCCAGCTAGATTGCTGGGAAACTGCTCCTCTCTCTGCTGTCAAGATGTGGACATGGCGTTTCACTGCATTTAGGCACTTAGATGTGAGTGAGGTCTATTTGGAATGGTATTGTAGGTTTTAGAGCTATGTTTCTTTCTGTTCGTATGAAAAAGGTGCTGAGCCTAAGGAGTTTGGTGAAAGTGGCAGGAATTCTAAGAATATTTATGTCCTTGCATTTCTGTTAAGGGAAGTGATTCTGAAGTAATTTTTTACTCATGTATGAAAGTGATGAGTAAAGTCACATTAAACATGTCGAGATGAAGTGATAATGTAGTAGAAACAAAGTCCCTACACCTTGGCCTGATACATAGGAGACACACCATTGGCGCTCTTTGCTCTCCTGTCCTGGTTCATTACCTTAACTAAAACTTCATGGTTCAGAGTGGTCCCATCCACATTTCAAGCAAAGTCTTCCTGAAACTGCATAGAAACACTTGGCAGGATATCCCCAGAGGCTAGTGGAAAAATTACTCTTTCTGATCACTGTTTGCTTGCTAGTTGTTCTCTCTGTCCCACATTCCTTTCCTATTTCTGCATTTCCTGTGATTGCAGACCGAGAGGGGCAGTGGTGCCCGTCTCTGCTAGACGAGCCTTTGGGGCTGTTCAGGGGCCGTGCCTCTGCGGTGTTGGCAGTGCTCTTACCTTAAACATAGCTTGTCCTGTGAAGTATTCACGCGGGGTTACTTCTCTTATGCAATCAAAATTGTAGAAAAACCATTAGCTTTTTCTGATCTCAGTTGTATGTCAGATCTAACCCTATATCTTAGGCACATTATATGTTCCTTTTGAATTGTAAGCATAAAGCAACAGATCACTTTTTATGTTCACCTACGTCATTAGCTATAAAGAATTAGATCAACGTGTAAGTTTTATCAAATTGTGGAGCATACCAGTGTTCTAGCTTTGAATAATTCTGTGTGATCGCTTAAGAATCATCTACGTCTTAGCACACAGTTTACCAGCACCTACCATCATTTGCAGGAAAGTCTGCCAGTTCTACTTTGATTTGCTCACTTTTGCTCACTTTTACCTGGGAACTGATGTTTAAATATGTTTTAAACATTTTCTGATTAGAATATATCGAGATGAAACATAGAACATAGAATCTCTTCATGGTCACACATTCTGTTCTCATTATTGTAATCTGAGTATTTGAGTTATACTTGATTTTGTTTCATTACTACTTAAATATAGAGATATTCTTGGAGTTTGTGAACTAGTCACACTGGACCATTTTATTTGATGTTCTTATAAGCAGTCTTTTGAATATGTTCAGCCATGAAGTGAAATACACACCCATAGTATCTGAATCTCTACATATAGTTATGACGACATTTTTTCAGAGGGACCCCCGGACACAGCCATACCAGTGAAACAATGACTTAAAAAATAACCTGCCAGATAAGATTATGAATAATAAGTAAATAACACACATGGTTTCTCCATTAAATGTGGAAACTGTAACACAGTTTGGGAATTATGTATCTTCTGGAGTTAATTATTTCTCTGTGACATAAATAGTATCTTTAAAAAACAAAACAGAATTATTTGACAATCAAAATTAATAGTAGTTTCTAGCAGATAGTTTAAAGATAGTAAGTTAAACTATCAAAAGTGTTTTAGGATGTTTTTATTTTTAATTTAAGATAGTTTCAGATTTACAGAAAATTTGCAAAGATAGGGCAGGGTTTCGCAATTTGCTCAGATCACTTCCCCTCTTACTACCATTGTTACAGTTCGTTATTACAGTTACAGACAGTGATGCTACACTGTCACCATCCGCCATCGATTCTTTCCCTCAGATTTCCATAGTTGGACCCTTTCTCGCAGATCCAGTTCAGGACACCTCAGTACATCCAGTGACCTCGTCTCCTTCGGACACTCTTTGTTGTTGGCGTTTCTGAGACATTCTTTGTTTTGGATGATCTTTTCCATTTTCAAGATTCTTTGCCATTAATATTGTAGAATTTTTCCCCAGTCGCACTTAAAGTGACATTTCTCTTGTGATTACTTGGAGTTGTGTTTTATGGGGAAGAAAGTCACAGAGGGCAAGTACAGTTCACAGTACGTCATGTCAAGGTCAAGTGCTCTGAAGGAGACTTACATTGTCGATGTCCCAAAGGGCAGGGTTTTTTTTTCTTTAAGCTGAGTAACATGACGCTGTGTGTGCGTGTGTGTGTTTCACATGTTCATTGATGTACCAACGGACATTTAGGCTGCTTCCTTATCTTGTCTATTGTAAATATTGCTGCAGTGGACATAGAGATGCATATGTCTTCTTAAATTAGTATTTTCATTTGAGGTAAATACATAAAGCAAAATTGCTGGTATACATGGGAGTTTTATTTTGAATTGTTTGAGGAGCTTCCATACTGTTCTTCACATTGGATACACCAATTCCCATTCCCAAAAATCAACGGTTCCTTTTTCTCCACATTCTTGTATAGTTACTTTTTGTCTCCAATTCGAACTTCCATTCTAAAAGATTTGAATTGAGATCTCATTGTAGTTTTAATTTGCGTTTCCCTGACAGTTAGTGATACTGAGACTTTCCATGTGTCAGTTGGCCATCTACATGTCTTCCTTGGAAAAATGCCTATCTAGGTCCTCTGCGCATTTTTTTAATTGGATTACGGTTTCAGTAGTAGTTGTAAGAGTACTTTGTATGTTTTATATGTAATCACCAGGTTGAATATGTCATGTGCGAACATCTTCTACCATTGAGTACATTATTCTTCTGTATGGTTGATGATGTCCTTTGCAGTACAGAGCGTTTTAGTTGGATGTAGTCCCATTTGTTTATTTTAGCTTTTATTGTCGTCGACTCAGGAGAGAGATAAAAAAAAAACGTTGCTAAGACCAGAGTCGAAGTGCTTGCTGCCCATATTTTCTTCCAGGAATTTTGTGGTATCAGGTCTTACATTTAAGTCTTTAATTCATTTTGAGTTTCCTTTTGGATATGTTTTAGGAAAGTGGTCCTCCTTTTATGTAGCTGTCCAATGTAACTCATACCATTTATTGAAGAGTTTTTTTCCCATTATATATTCTTACCTCCTTTGTCATAAACTAACTGACCATGTAAGTGTGGATTTAATTCTGGCTCTTTAGTTTGTTCCATTGATATAAGGATCTGTTTTTGTGCCAAAACCGTAATGTTTTGATTACTACAGCTTTGTAGTATAGTTAGAAACTGGGGAGCATAATACTTCCAGCTTTGTTGTTTCTCAGTATTGGTTTGGCTGTTTGGGGTCTTTTGTGGTTCCACAGACATTTTGCGATTATTCTAGCTCTGTGAAGAATATGATAGGTATTTTTTTTCAGGATTCTAACCTTCTTTATATTCTCTTTTTATTGGTGAAGGGCATAACTTGGTCATTCTTCAAATTATAAAATAATTTAGTCACAGGAAGGGAAATATAGTGTAGGTAATGTAGCCCCTAGCATTGTAATATCTTCTTGTGCTATGAGTACTTTGACAGAGATTGCATTGAATCTGTAGTTTGCTTTCCATGGTGTGGACATTATCACAATACTAATTCTTCCAATCCATGAGTGGGGTTTATCTTTCCACTTATTTGTGTAGTTCAGCTTATTTCATCAGTATTTTGTGGTTTTGAGCATATAGTTATTTTACTTCTGTGGTTAAATTGATTCCTAGGTATTACTCTTTCTGCTGCATTTGTAAGTAGGATTGAGTTTATAATATCTTTTAGTTTGCAATCATCCTTAGTGTATAGAAACACAACACTTTTGAATATTTATTTTGTATCCTGCACCTTTTTTGAATTCATTTACTACTTCTAATACATTTTTGGTGAATGCTTTTGAGTTTTCTACATATAGCATGAAGCTATCTGCAGATAGTGACAGTTTTAGTACTTCCTTTCCAATTTGAACATCTTTGACTTTTCTTGGCTAATTGCTATGGCTAGGACTTTGAATATAATATTGAACAAAAATGGTAAGAGACGATATCCTTGACTTGTTCCTGTTCTCAGAGAAAAGCTCTCAACTTTGCACTGTCTAGTATGATGGCTGTGGGTTTGTCATATATGTCTGTTTTTATGTTTAGTTGTGTTCTCTTTATACCCACTTTGTTTCAAATTTTTATCATAAATGTATATTGAATTTTGTCAAAAGTTTTTCTGCATGTGTTGAGATGATCATATTTTTATCCTTCATTTTGTTGCTGTGATGTGTCAAATTGATTAATTGTGGGTATTAAACTATCCTTGCATCCCCAGAGTAAATCCCACTTGATCATGGTGTGTGACCCTTTTATTGTGTTGTTGAAATTCCCCTTTCCGTTCTCAGCCTATATGTGACCTCCTGGAAATGACTTCCTTTAGCCTGGTCCTCCTCCTTCCCGTCATGAACTGCTATCTCAGTGCCCTGTTTAGTGACTTAATGTAACTGGTTACAACTGGATCTTGTCTTGTTTATCTTTTTTCTCACTTTGTTGACTTTGGTCTTCCTTCCATGCAGAAGACTGGTCTTGCATGATTGTACTCCCCTGGCCTGGCACAGCAGTGAGCATAACACAAGTAATGAACATTATTTTGAATATTGTGATATAATCAGTTATACAACATACATACTTGGTCATTCAGTAACCCAAATATATAATTGCCAGGTATATTTCTTCTTCTTCCACACTTCCTGAAAACACTGCAGAGCCTTAAAGGTGAAGTCAGTGTCTTGTCATGTTAATGAGAGACTTTTAGACCCCACCTGCTGGTGGGGGCTGGAGGTTGAATCAGCCAATGATAGAGTCAGTCATGACTATACAGTGAAGCCCTCAGCAACATCAATGAGATGGGCATCTCTCTCTCCGGATCCTGCTTCTCTGTCGGAGAGAGCTTCCACGCTTGGGGAACCAAAAGGATTCCATGTGTAACAGAGCTAGTCCCCAGGCCCCAAACTCCGCAAGGATAGAACCTCCTTTATTTGGGAGCTTGCCCTATGTGTGTCTTCATTTGGTTGTTAAATTGCATTCTTTAGGGCACCCGTTCTTAAACTTCTAAATGTGTTTTTCTGAGTTCTGTGACCACCCGAGCAAATTAATCAAATCTAAGTGGGAGGACATCAGAACCTGCAATCTGTAGCCAGTTCTGTAGAAGCACAGGTCACTGACGGGGGCCTGCGACAGGCATCTGGAGGGGCAGGTGGGGAGTCTTGTAGGGTGGAGCCCTTCACCTGGGGAATCTGGTGCCGTCTCCAGGCATATGTCATTAGAACTGAGTTGAGTTCTCAGACACCCTGCCAGTGTTTAAGAATCACCTGGTGTCTGTGAGATCTCACATACACACACACACACACACACACACACACACACACACACACACACGTGCACACACGCGCACGCGCAATGTTGGAATCATGTCCGCAGACTCAAAAGGAGTTGTACGATGATGTGTATGAGAAAACACATTTGGTGTCAGGGTGCTGGGATTTGCTAGAATTGCCCACGTGCTCTGAAATATGTGGTTTCTGAAGAGAAAGAATGGAAGGGCAGGGAATGAGGAACCTTTGATGCCTGGACGGCTGCCCACTCACCCTTGGTATGAAGGAGCAGCTGCCCTAAAATTGGTTACTAAAGGAAAAGTTAGCAGTAGAATTTAGAAATAGCAGTGGACCCACGTCCTAAGGAGTTGGCTTGGTGGCTATGTAAGGGAAGTGCAGATGAGTAAGAAGCAGGCTAAATAATCCTTTCCCTGGTTGTTGTTATCTGTAATAGTCAAAATGAAAATGAAAGAAAGTGCTGGGTCAGGGCTTGATGCGGAACCAAGCTGGGATTTGGGTCAACCTGAGCCTCGGCCATGAGCCTCAAAGCCACCTAGAAATGGAAAATGGTGTCAAGCAACACAAAGTACCTCTAAGACCTCTAGTCGCCAAGAAAATAATGTAGGTGGAGGCAAAAGCCGGGAAATGTGTGAAACCAGGGAACATAGTGTGAGGGAACTGGCTCCCTGTGC